TTAACCTCCTTCCATGATCTCTAGCAGTGTTCTGTCTTCTGCTTTCGTCTCCACTTTCTGCTTCCACCCTTATTTGCCAACAGTCTTGTTTTTGTTTTTGCTTTTGTTTTTGTTTTTGTTTGCTTAGGTTTTTTTTGTTTGTCCTCGAATAGCTTTGTTAAATGCGAGTGGTTGATAGGATATCGCACTATTATCAATAGTATTATTTCTGGTACAGCGATTTACCTGAGTGAACAAGTCGTGTGTCCGTAATACAATTATATGTGTAGCATAGTGGGAAAATCAGACCCTCGTCAAAATAATGAAATCAATGAAAACGACATTTTTCTATCCGTTTAGCAATTTTTATCGTATTATTTTTCCTCAGTACCTTTCATTCTCGAAATTGACATTGATTTGATATACAGGAACAAATGTAGACACTCATTTCCTTTTTTTCTTAATTGATAAACCTTGTGGTTGTTGAATAAATTCAACCCGTTTCATAACTTGAAGGCACATTGTTAAGATAAATGGACCACCGTCAGCTCAATTGGTATCATGCTGGACTGCAGTGTGGATGACCCTAGTTCGAATCACTAGCGCAGCTGTTTGAATTTGTTATGATGGGAGTTTTAAGGCTCTCAATACCTCTGAATGAGGTCCTATCGGAGATGGACGGTTAATTTGGAGGTCCCGCCTTTTTAAAACTACCTCACAGTATTGAAAAGGGTTATAACGACAGGTTTACGGTTGGTCGGCGGGTGCTCTGGTGTAGTTTGAGCCTTCTTTCCTCCCAAACATATACAATGTATCTCCTGATCTCTTTTCCTCCTTCTTATGTTTGTTACTCTCTTATACTATCTCTAATCTTCGGCACTTATTTGACCTTATTGTGTTGGAAGTGCCGTAAAATTATTATTTAAAAAAGACCCAGCTTTAGAGTTGGAAGAACAAAATGAATTCCGGTGTTGTTCAAAGGCTGAGAGCAAAGTACATGAGTACTCTACAAAGTGACCTTCGCTCAAGAACGCCCAGACGGAGATTTGAACCAGGGCCACCCGCGTCGTAGTCTGGCATGACACCATCTCAGCTAACGGAGCGCCCTCAGTCTTCATATTTATATGTTTACAACATTTGGAGAAACTGAAGCAACGAATAGCCTACTCTTTCCATAGGACCATTGCTTGTCAACATATTCTAACCTCAGAAAACAACAATTTATAGGAAAGAGAAAAACATCCACTTTCATTGCATAAGCAATTGTATCCTCGTTTGGCATCTTGCTTGGTTTTTTTTTCAGCATGTAGAAGTTGAATTTCGACGACAAAATATTTCTTGCTCATATGCGACCGATAGCACATATAAAAAAGAAATTGCAATCTAAAAAAAAATTATATTAGACTTGGTACATCTGAAACGCAGTTGACCGTCTACATGGCTTTTTGTATTTTATTTTTTCCCCACCACTTAGCTGTAACAAATATCAGTAAAACAAAAAACAAAAAGACAACCTCCCCCAAAAAACCCCCAACATCAAACCAACAACAACCAAACAACAATAAAACAGCAAGAAATAAACTATCAGAAAACAAAAACAAAAACCAAGCAACAATAGCGTCATATACCTTTTCTTTTAAAACATTTTCCACTCTGTTGTCCTTAGCAACAGCTTTGGAAGATGTCAAGACGGTTCGAAGAGACAAAACCGAGTATTCATCGAAACATGCGAGTCTTTATGATAGCTACCATTCCAAACCTGTTGATCATAGATATTTCATTATTATTCTTATTTCATTTTTTTTCCTTTACAGTTTCCTTTTTTTTGGTTAAAGATTTAAACTTAAACATGTTTCAAATTTAATTACTTTCTCCTTTAGGGACCTCTTTCTTGTTGATTACAAAAGAAGTATTTCGTTGTTTTAAACTTTTGTTTTGCATTGTATTGTTTTGCATTGTATTGTTTTGCATTGTATTGTTTTGCATTGTATTGTTTTAATTTTGTTGTTGTTGATTTTTTCTTCTATGTACACTACATGTAGCTACGGTTGAAAAAAGTGCTCTGCTCAGTAAAGTATATCATTTATTGTAATGGATGACTCTTCTGGGGGGTTTTTTTTGGTGGTATTTTTGCTCTGGTCTATGACAAATCCCACTTTTCCCCTCTACCCTTTATCGCTATTGTGCAATTAAAATAATTATTTCCCCACAGTTCATGTTACCCCCAATCAACTGGAGGACCTTGACAATGTACCCATGCAAAAAAACCAGCCACCTTTGCTGCTTCAGAGATGTTCTGCCCCAGAGTCTGTGATTTTTGGAAACACCATAACTTCATAACTTCCTGACTTGATACTTGATAAGGCCTGTGTGGTCCAAACAATAAACTTTTGATGAAGCGTTAAGTTCCAGTTTTACTTCTTTTATTATA